GGCATGTCTGAAGAACAATATGAAAAGGTGTGTTATTACTTTCATGCTACTTTTTTAAAAAACATGCTAAAGTATATTGGTCTTGATGTGTTTTTCAGTTTTGAATCAAATACCAGATTTGTTAGGCTTAAAATAGCCATTGTTGTATAATATGATTTAATAAACTAGCATGATTACCACATTATACACTTAAGCTGTGCCACTTTGTACTATTGTTTTAAAAATTTTACATTAAAAATAACCAGAGAAAGAGTCTTGAATTTATGCTTTGTTTAGAAAGAGTAGTCTCATATTGATAGTAACATTGTAATTTAATTGGTTGTCACCCAAAAAAATTACCACACCAGTATAAAGCCTATAAAAGTTTTTGCAGTCATACTATGCCCAGTAGTAGTAGTGTGATTCCAGTGTAAAACTGAAATACTGCATGACAATTAAGCATTTAGAAATCAGAAGTTTTGGTTGGTCAACGATATTCCATGCAAAACATTTCAGCAGTATGCCATGTTTCAGTAGGAGCTGTATGCAACATCAGGAGAGGATGTGTGAACTTGTGTGAAACTGGTGCTGTTAATAATAGAAATGGTGAAGGTGGGAAACTGAAACTCTTCAAAAGTGATGATCTTAAGTTTCTTACTTGTTCAATGGTAGATGGGAGAATGGTATTATAGTCAGTGTGTACTACATCTAGAATGTGGCATGGTGGGGATAAATACACACAACTACCCTCATTGCTGACAACTGCTGTCAGATTTTGATCTGTCATGACATTTGTTTAGGAATATAACTGATCAGGCAGAGGTTCTTCTTCAAGCAAGACAAGGATCAAAACATACAATAAATATGATGAAATACTATCTTGTGAGAAAGAGGCTGGCATAAAGTCCTGATATCAACCTTGTGTAAAATCTGAGTTCGTCAAAATCTGACCAAACAGTTTGTTAATTATGGGGAGTAACACAGGTTATTTGGAACAATTTATCACACCTGTACCTTGACAAATTGTATGGCAGCATAAAAAAAATGGTATAATGCTCTTTGCAAAACAATGGATCAGAAATACAGAATACTAAAACATTGTACACATTTCTTTCACATTTTTTATAATAATGTCTTGTGCTGTTTTAATTCATCACATAGTTCCCCATATTTGTTTTGCTAGGTTATCAAAATAATAAAGTTAATATACTAATTTATCTCTAACATCAACCATCATAGTGGGTATGTCTCTAACATCAACCGTCATAGTGGGTATGTCTCTAACATCAACCGTCATAGCGGGTATGTCTCTAACACCGACCGTCATAGTGGGTATGTCTCTAACATCAACCGTCATAGCGGGTACGTCTCTAACACCAACCGTCATAGCGGGTATGTCTCTAACATCAACCGTCATAGTGGGTATGTCTCTAACATCTACTGTCATGGTGGGTATGTCTCTAACCTCGACTGTCATGGTGGGTTTGTCTCTGACCTCGATTGTCATAGTGGGTTTGTCTCTAACATCAACCGTCATGGTGGGTATGTCTCTAACATCTACCGTCATAATGGGTATGTCTCTAACCTTGACTGTCATGGTGGGTTTGTCTCTGACCTTGACTGCCATTGTAGTTTCTTTTTCTGATTTCAGCTACCATTTTTAGTTTGTCTGATGTCAGGTGTAAGTACTTAAAAGGCAGTCAGCATACTCATTTTTTCATAAAATTACCTAGAAGCTGTCGTATCACTTTACTTACCTGATTTATAAACATTTGAGTTTATGTTGTTTTAAAAACTGCATTACTGCATGGAAATAATAATAGTACAAACATCTTGAAGGATCAGAAGTGACATCTGTACCTTCCAGTTTATTTATAGCCATGACATCTACACCTTCCAGTTTATTTGTAGCCATGACACCTGCACCTTCCAGTTTATTTATAGCCATGACATCTACACCTTCCAGTTTATTTATAGCCATGACATCTGTACCTTCCAGTTTATTTGTATTTATGACATCTGACCTTCCAGTTTATTTGTATTTATGACATCTACACCTTCCAGTTTATTTGTAGCCATGACATCTGTACCTTCCAGTTTATTTCTAGTTATTTTTGGAAAAAGAACTTATTGTATCGAACATCGTAAACCTTCTCAGAACCTTATTTCATAATTTTTTTATCATCATAATATCTTTATAAAGTGTATAGTACCACAGAGTTTGCTAAAATATTACCAAACCTCGGTTGTAAATGTTATTGTTTTTATATTTTATTTATATTTATATTGTTTATACTTAATTGCAAAAAAATATATAAAAACAGTATATTTATGGAAATGCTACTAAGCTTATGTGCCACCATCCCTAATTTTGACCTATTGACAAGAGGGAAGGTAGCCCGTCATCAGCACCCTACCACCCACACTAAGGTATTAACTGTCTCTCATATTATGCATCATAGCTTGGATTCAAATGCAGCTCGCTAGCTCTGAAATCCAGTGTGCTCTATCACAGTGCACCTTTTGTATATATCTGTACACTCATTGTTAATTACCCTAAAAGGTCACATTGACTGTATTTTATTTACCATAGTTATAAACCTATTTTATCTACTAATATGTGTTTGAACATTGTACAACTACTTCTACTCCATAGTATATAAAATATCATTGTAGAAAGTACATTAGTTGTAAGTCTTGATTATTTCTAGATATTGGGTTTTTCTGTACATCTTCTTCAAGTAAAAAATGAAATATATATATATTTAGGTTGATCGGACCGTTAAATCTATATATATTTGCAGTTTTTAGAACATAGCAAGACTACCCATGCAATGGGACGTGTTGGCACCGTTGATGAGGTGGCGAGATCTATAGCATTTCTAGCTTCCGATGATGCTTCTTTCATAACGGGACAGACGCTTGCTATTGATGGAGGCCGAAGCGTCATGTGTCCTCGTTAAGACCAAGCCGTAGAAAGTGACCTCTTGAGACTGGTGTGGATAAATATTTTTCATCTGTTTAATTTAGGAGTCTGATATGCTTGATAATGTGACACGTATATATAAGTAGAAATATTCCTAAATTGATGAAACTTAGTTTATTCCTATGATGATACAGTAATATTTTGTATATTAATATAAAACTATTAAGCCTTCATAACACTGTTCTGTGTAATATTTTACACAAGTTTATTTCTCAACTATGGTATATAAATCACTACCTTTTGAGTTATTTTTAAAGAAACGTAACCTTTCTTCAGACTACTTTTTGAAAAAAAATGTCTACAATAAGAATATTCTCTCTGTCATCTTATTCGTAACAGATGAATACAAGATGTTTCAGAAAGTTGTATTTTTGTGTGGCTTGGAAGAAATTAAAAGTATTGGAAAATATAGTATGTTCTATGTTATGTTTAAGTGCTGATAACAAATTCTTAAACGTATGTTGTTCCTTTTAATGTTAAGTAACATGAACTACAACTGTTGGTTACGGTCATATTTACACATGTCTGTGTTTATTTGTGAGCTCTCCTTGAAATGGCCATGATTAATAAAGCCATATTTTGCTGATCAAGGTTTCTGAGCTTAATGAGCAAAACGTATTTATTTTCAGCACCTTATGATAGAACCTACATATTGACTATACAACTAGTTTCAGCACCTTATGATAGAACCTACATATTTGACTATACAACTAGTCTCAGCACCTTGTGATAGAACCTACATATTTTACTATACAACTAGCCTGAGCACTTTGTGATAGAACCTACATATTTTACTATACAACTAGCCTGAGCACTTTGTGATAGAACCTACATATTTACTATACAACTAGTCTCAGCACCTTGTGATACAACCTACATATTTTACTATACAACTAGTCTCAGCACCTTGTGATACAACCTACATATTTTACTATACAACTAGTCTCAGCACCTTGTGATAGAGCCTACATATTTTAATATACAACTAGCCTCAGCACCTTGTAATAGAACCTACATATTTTACTATACAACTAGCCTCAGCACCTTGTGATAGAACCTACATATTTTACTATACAACTAGTCTCAGCACCTTGTGATAGAACCTACATATTTTACTATACAACTAGACTCAGCAATTCGTTAATAAATTTAAACGGTGACAATATAACGAAGATTGAGCATGTTATTAAAACGATTTTGAATATGCAAACCAAGTCACATCTGTATCCGTTTTAAAGACGCGGTAGAACAAAATGTGTGAGAATTACATTTTGTCATTTTAGGTATTGCGTAGGTAGTGTAATGCCGCCAAAAATTGGACCACTTTAGAGAATGGCATGCAACAGCCCCTTTTGACCTAAAATATTCATACACTCAAACCATTAATGAGTTGTTTGTTTCGGAGATTTATAATTTCCAAGACTGGAATTTAACTTGTAGTTAAATGCATTGGAAAACAAAAGGATATGTATTAACTAGGGAAACCAGGACCATCTAAAAAGAGACTTGCGACAAGACGTACCCAGCCTTGGTAAGCAAATTGTGCCGTCATGTAACAGGTGAGAATCTACAAACAAATTTTAGGAGTAAAAGCCGTCCATATGTCCCAGGTGATAGAACTCAACATGATCAAGAAAGTTGTCCTTGCATAAAAGGTGACACGACTCTCGTGTACACAATCTGTTTCCACGACGTATCCAGGAAAGAAGTGGTGGCGACTTGTCGTGATAGCAAATCAAATTGACTTATTATCATATTGATAAGTTGAAATAATGTCTTCAGTAGATGTTATTTGGTTTTGGTTACATGCTACAGGAGTTTTTAGCTCCGACCAAAGTACAGTATTATTATTATTTTAAAAAACACGCTTTACGACTTATTATAAAACAGACAAATAATTCGTTAATGGTTTTTTAGTAACTTGCAGGTTATTTAGAATTTCTTTAACGGATTGTTTTAATAAGTAGTTTTTACGATAGCCCAGGTGTTTGTCAAAATGCACAAATTAAATTGAACATGATTGGATATCATCACTTATGCCAATTGGCTACTGGAATAGCCGCAGGATATTTGTCATGCGCAGTGCAAAGTATGTTCGAAAAAACGGGGGAAATGTTTTTTTTTCTATTTTCATTTCATTGTGTTTTATAAAACATTTTGTAGTTTTTTGTTTGTT